CACGCGCGCGCGCGCGCACACACACACACACATATCTACTTGCTTATCACACGCACACGCTTACACATCGTCACGAAATGAGCATAGAATAATATACACAATGCAATTCACAAAATACATCAATGGATACATAGTCATTAACATAATATTTTACTGAACATGAATCTACTGACATAAAAAGGATGTCATTAAATGTGTCTTTAAAGAGTTTTAAAATTTAGACTCAGATGTTGTATGCCTCAAGGGTTGGGGAAGAGAGTTCCAAACTGACCGAGCAAGGTGGGCGAACGATCTTTCAGCTAATTTTTTACCCCCTTTTCTAGGAACTCTTAAAAAGGATACTGATCGTCTAATCGTAATTATCTAGATGGAACATAAATCTGGATGAGATCACTAAGTTATGACGGAGCTTTTTTATTGACACATTTATGACATAATATTGCAATATTATATGACATTCTAGCTGACACGGGAAGCCAATGCAACGTTCTTAACATGGGAATAATGTGGTCCCTCTTCTTTTTCTTTAGTACAAGCCTAGCAGCATGATTTTGAAAACGATGTAACTTGTGAAGAGTCGTACTTGGTAAGTTAGCTTGTAAAGCATTGCAATAATCGATGCGTGAAAACAAGAAAGATGATACGAGCGTTTTCAACGAGAGTTCATTCAAAATCATAGACATATGGCCAATTCTACGCAATTCACAAAATAAAATGGTACATAAATAATTGATATGATGTTCCATTGACAATTTTGAATCAAAATACACTCCCAGATGTTTTGCTTTATTGGTAAAATACAGTTTTTCATTTTCAGTACAAACATTAAGCTGGCGCTTATTATCAACCATCCCCTTTTTGATGTCATCAATGCACAGACCCATGGTAGTAACCAAGGTTTTAACATCTGATGGTGGAACAGATTTATATAACTGTGTATCGTCAACGTACATGTGATAATTCATATTGCGCTTTTTAATCACAGCTCCAAGCGGCTGAGTATATAACGTATACAAGATTGGACCCAATACTGAACCTTGAGGCACTTAAGTCTAGCTTAAAAATTGACGAAAGAGAGTCGTGCACAACCACATATTGTGTACGGCCAATCAGGTAGGACCTGAACCAATCAAGAACCATGCCAGACAGGCCAAACGTGTTGAACAATCGTTCAACAAGAATAGTGTGATCTATAGTGTCAAAGGCAGCACTAAGATCAAGAAGAGAAAGAATTGATATTTTGTTCTCATCCGCCTCACACAAGAGGTCGTTATATATTTTCAATAGCGCAGTTTCTGTGTTATGAAATTGCCGATAGGCAGATTGATATAATTCATATAAATTGTTTTCTTTTAAATGATTCTTCAATTGAACTAAAACAACTTTCTCCAAGATTTTTGATAAAAAGGGAAGGTTGGAGACAGGTCTCAAATTCTTGAGCTCCTCCGGGGAAAGATTTCATTTTTTGAGAAGGGGAATAACTAAAGCATGCTTAAAGAGTGATGGTACTACTCCAGACTGAAGAGACTCATTAATGTTGGAAGTTATCAATCCAATGACACTTTCAAGATGTGTGATGAGCAGTGGTGTTGGAATGGGATCAAGACTACATGTTTTATGGGGTGATGACATTATGATTGATCTTACATCTTCTTGTGTTACACGTACAAATTCATTAAAGATTACCCCAGAAAATGTTTCAAAACATGATAGTTTATGGGTAGTCATGTCAATTTTTTTCCTAATCGTGGATATCTTGTCTCTAAAGTATTGACCAAAAACATCAGGAAGGTCACTTTTAGGTACATTCGTGGGAAACTTGTTGCTGGCCGGATCTTTCTTAACAGACAACTGATTTGTTATACAAAATAAAGCTTTAGAGGTCGTACATTCATTAATTTTTCCGTTATAATACAAAAATGTAGTAGATGTTTATAACGATTTCACTATGTTGTTACAGTGTCCATAAATGTCCTCATGAATTTTCAGCTTTGTTGATCTCCAGCGTCTTTCAGCTTGTCTACGTTCCAATTTAGATTGTTTAATTTCCAAAGTCATCCACGGGGCAGAAGGTCGATCAGTCACTGTTCCGGATTTGACTGGTGTATGTTTGTTTAGAAGTTCACACATCTTGATGTTAAAAATGTCTACCTTCTCGGAGGTTGCACCGTGTATGAATTTTAGAAGCCGGCGAATGTCCGCTCCAAACGTTTCATTATCAATGTCCATTTTCCGGGATGTTAATTTATGGTGTCTCAGTTTGGGCTTCCCTATACGAGTTTTTTCAAAGGACGCCACGTAGTATTCAGATATGCATTTGTTCTTTACTTGAATTTCATCGATTTTATTGACACTGTCTGTAATCACCCAATCTAATGTGTGTTTTTTAATGTGAGTGGGGACATCAATGTGTTGATAGAGACCACGAGTCTCTAGAATGGATTTGATAGATTTAACATTAGTGTCTAGGATAACTTCAAAATGTAAAATAAAGTCCCCTAAAATTATAGGTATTGGTCTGACTGGACTGTTCTAAAAGTTATATTTTTCTTTCTTTCTTTTCTTTCTTTCTTTCTTTCTTTCTTTCTTTCTTTCTTTCTTTCTTTCTTTCTTTTTTGTTCAGTTATTCATTTACTCATTTATTCATTTATTCATTCATTTATCTTTTTTTGTTTATTCGGTTATTCATTTATTCATGTATTTATTCACTTATTTATCTATTTATTTATTTATTTAATTTTATTCTTTTTTATGGGGAGCGAGTTTGGCCATCATTACTGTGAATAATAGTATGTCCTAGGATACAATGCAGTACAAGCCTTACAGCAGACGATGAGAGAGAGCTGGTCAGCTGTTACGACGGTTTGGAGGTCTTCCTTACCGTCTGTCTCTCAGTTTTCTATAGCTTGCGAGGCTGACAGGGAGTCAGTGAAGACGACAACCTTTTTCCCGGATGTCGGGTCTTTTCGAAATATTGTGTTTAGGTGCTTCAAGGCAGCTTGAATTCCTAAAAGTTCTGGTTCATAGCATCATCATGGAAACAAATCCATATCCCACAGCCACCGTTTAACAGTGGCTTTAAATGTAGATCCTTCTTTAGGCACAATATTGATCCACTCGTGTGCTAGGTGTAGGAATGTGTTCTCTTCAGCTCTCTTCAGTTCAATTAGGTCTGCCTTTTGCTGAGATTTTTTAAAATGCAGATGTGTGTTTATTTTAGGTGTACGAAAGTTTTGATGGGTTGGGATTTGCTGACCATGTAAGTTAGTACTTTCTTATGAGATCCTGGTCGAAATTCTCATCTCACGAGAAGGTATAGAAGTTTCTGGCCCCCATAAACGCTAGACCAGGTGGTGAGCTTCTTCTACCCTGCCTGCTAGGGCCATCCCAGGCTGAGAAGGATACAACATCCCGTTAGGCTAGAAAAAAACATAATAAAAAGACATATCTCCACGTGGGAATCGAACTCAAATCTTCTGTGTTTGCGTAAGTAAGTAGCTATACTCGTGTAAATACACTGGCATAGATCGCTCCCCTCATAAGAATTGAACTCACATCTCGGACAAACCGCAACACAATACACGCCAGTTGTGTTTGTGTAAATAAGTAACCATGCTCATGTAAATGCATAGCAGTAACACCATTCCCTCACAACAGACACTGGTTCGTGATTTACCTGTGTATATTACGTGTCCTAGGCTTACGGTGCATGAGACTAGAGATTAACCAATTAACTAATTAGGCTAATGGCGCATTCAGACCAGTGCCAGTGATCCGAGTTCGAGTGAATGTTTAAGCTTAATGAACGATAGTTGATTAATGACTACGTGCTCACGCCACCCCTTGGTGCGAGAAAGTACCTTCCAAGCATAATATAGAGATCATAACGAACTTTTTAAAATTTGCTGTGTGGTTAAAATAGGGAAAGAAGCATTAGAAAAAGACAACTGACAGGCTTTTGTAAGGCGAGTTTCACCATAATTTCGTCAGAGGAAACAAATGCGTTTCAAATATCAAATACATTTCACAACCTGATGCCGATCGATGACTGGACCACACGTAGAAAAGGAAAGCACTAACAACTAGGAAACCTTTCCCCGGAAGAACAGCTCATCATAACTCTCTGTGACGCTTGCACACACCACTACCACAGGAGGACTGACGATACTATATGGCTGAGGCACGGCTTGGGCTGAGGTAAAGCAATGAATTAACACGTCAATGAGACCACGCGAGACTCTGGTCTGTACACTTGTAAGTGAATATAAGGATCGATTTTTGTCAATTTCTGTAATCAACGAATATTAACGAAGTCCTTTGGTCTAAATGAACCCATGATCGTGCTAGAAAACGCCATTGATGGCATTGAGTTGAAGAGAATGATCTATTTTTTTAGCCTTGTAGTAATTTACTTTATCTATATCTTCTACACATATTGGGTTCGTAAAAAGATTGAAAGGAATGCGAGCAGTAAATGACGGCTAAAATCAGTCTAAAAAGGAAAAATGAAAAAAAAGCTCAAAAGGGAAAACAAAAACTTCTTATAAATTCAGCAGCTGAGCAGCTTCAGCATGGTTAGTATTCATAAAAACAGGTCAACCACATTGGGTTAATTCATTATGAACGTTGCGAGAGCATGGTAATATTATGAAGTCCGATCAGCTGACCCTTGGAAATGTTGTGGCACATTTAGAACCACCATACACAAATCAGAAACATGAATTTTCATATTTCATAGTAGACGTGTTATTTACTGTCCTTTTAATTTTCAGATAAAGACGAACATTGAACACTTTGGAGGATCAACTAAGTTATCAATGTTTGATCTTAAAAGTTTTCCAAAAGCAGTGGTCTTCAGGCATTGTCAAATGACCTGATTATGCTTTCTAAATGAGTTAAAAAGAAAGAGAACAGACCAGACCTAGATTGGACAAACAGGTAGATCAAATCAGTTTTAAAACACATGAAATATTTACTGCAAGATGGGACTAGGACAAAACTTTAAGGCTGGACAAGAGTGTTTATTAATGCGTTGTCATATAGTATGTGGGTTGATACCTTTAACAATTCATAGCGGCATATCGCTAATATAATTGTGTTTAGTAGCTTAGGAGAAACATTTTAAAGCTTGGAGTCGGCAATTTTGTCTATTGTAAAAAAGAACCTAATGCACTTTGATAATAATAAACATATACGTGTATATCAATAACACACTTGTACAGATACCTACACGTAGAACAAAAGGTCACGGTCAACGTTCTAGGTTCAAAAGCACGAAAGAGTTAAAAGAATTTCAAAATGAAAAAAAACCCACTTCATCTCGAAAGATTTAAAGCTGTTCAAAATTCAAAAGCAATGCTATCTGTAAAGGTTGAGAACTGTTCAAGGTTCAAAAGCACTGCAACCCGACCAAAAAAAACAACCAACTTCAAGTTCAAAGTTGACAGCAGCTGTGCGTCCAGTAACCAGTGTCCAGTGACTAGTGACCAGGTCCAGTGATCTATCCCATGATGAGGGCAGTGGCGTAGGGCTCAGGCACCAGCACACTATCCACGATGTGAACCACTCCGTTTGTAGCGGACAGATCGCCGAGGACGACGTGGGCTTGGTTGATCATGACAGTTCCTGGGGGAGTTTTAATTTCAGATTAGTTTTAGTAAGAGTTTTGCAGCACTTGCAACACAAGTAGGTCATACGAGAGCCGAAGTGTAGAAGTGTTACTAGTGAGTAAGCCCTAATTACGAAGAATAGAAAGGGGAGAGATTATGGCAATGTGTTTGATGGGAAAGAAGGAGTTAACCACATCAGAGCACCTGCCAATCAACCACTGTCTGGGGGGGGGGGGGAGGGGAGGGGGTGTCTGGTGACAGGACCGAACATAGTACTGTGAAGTACGAAGAGGCAGGATATAGGTAAGTAAAGATATTGGTAAGGTTAGATTAGATTTAAAAAAGATAGATTAGATTAAGTTACGGGCAGATAGATACGATTGAATATCTGAATCAATGAACAGTAAAGATACAGTAAAGTGAGATAAGATAAAGATAGAATTAAATGATGTTACGTGATAACATTAGATAAAACAATATATTCAGGAAAAGAAAAAAGGGTCAAAATAAAATACGATACAGTACGTGAGACAGATCATTTCAATAAGATAATATGGTAAAATAAATATATTTTTAATTAGTTAACCCCTTCATTACTGAGACGTATCCGTCTACGGGTGTACAGACAACATGAAATTAGATATTCCCTCAAGAGAGATTTTCAGCGAAGCCATGATATGATTTTCCTTTAAAAAACAACAACAGCATAAGTCGCTATCATTACATCTCTTAAACGTCCCCTATTTAAACAGTCAAAAAACGTCAGAGAACCAGTCTTTGAGAAAACAAACGAGTATTATGATATATGCGTCTGCATAGCAACAAAGAGGTCACAATGAGCCCTGTTATAAACAATAATCCCAAAAAAAGAAATATAATATAATTGAAACTAACAAATTTATAAGCAGTTGAAAGCATCTTCCCTCATGACCCCAAAGCGATCAGACTAGGGGCCCTTCTGAGAGCTGCCACCGCAGATGTACTTAGTAGGTCAAGAAAATTCCGAAAATTACACTACATAGTATGCATAGCGCCGTAAAACCCCAACAAAACTATGGCACTCGTGAGAGTTTTAATTATTCCAAAGTAGTAAACAATCTTTGTCTATACATGCGTTTGCAACGGAAGGGACATAACTCTAACCATTAGCCATCATGGTAACAGTGAGTTTCTCCCCTTTGTCCTTTGTCGTGTAGATCCCCGGCCTTGCTCCAGCCGAGTAGACCACGCTCTCCAGTAGATGGTAAAGCAAGAACTCTGGAAACGCAATCAATGAAATAGTCAAGTAAGCTACCAGGCAGTCGGGGGATACCATCAATAAATGGCTCTACTGAAATACTCAAATTGATAAACAAAATCTTTACCGAAGAGTATGTAATAAGCTATTTACCCTTCGAACACTACTGAAACATTTAAGTACACAGAAAGTACACACGTTATATTAATATGTAGAAACACGCACTTGCGACCGCTTGCATCCTCCCCCTCCCCGAACACACACACACACACACACACACACAACCACACACACACACGCACACACACACACACACACACACAC